ATAGTACGGAACCGAACGGAACCGAACCGACCCGAACCGAACCGAACGGAACCGAACCCGAACGGTTCCATAATTATATTTGGACCCGACGGGTCCATTTATTAAATACCCGAAAGTTTTGGGTCGGTTCGGGTATCTTCAGAACCGAACCGAACCGACCCATGGACAGCCCTAAATTGGATCATACTATAAGTATATAATCATTTACATAATACATTACATAAATGACATGTGACGCGCATTCATCAATAGTCTACAATTTTTGACTTTTCCACACTTCACATCCACAACCGAATTTCTTCTACATGAGCCTATGCAATCCATTATGTACAATAATTATGTACATATAGATTTATCCTAATTATAATACCCGACAAATGCTAAATACCGATAGTGTTGAATAGTATTACTCATCCATTATTGACACAAATAGGTGAGCGTTGAGTATATTTAAGTGTAGATTTATGAAGGGAATTCAAAATAATTTTATCTAACACCATTAATACTATAATACTAATTTAAATGACGTTACGTGATAAATTCAATAAATTGGGACACCTAGGTATTAAAAAAAAAAATTGCCTCTTGAGTAATCTCTAATCTTTCAAATAATAGTGTGTGAACTCATTTACTAGAAACGCAATATATCTTAATCAAGTTAACACTTATCATTTATTTGATTTATGGGAAACAAAACTAAGTAAATTAAAACTTCCATTTCTATTTTCTAGCAATATAAATTTTCTTAATTAAAAATGTGCCTATAAAAATTATATATTTAACTAAACAGATTAAAATAACTTACAAAATATAATTCAAAAAATTCTAAATGAAATTTTCTACACCTTGAATGTATAAATACAACAGTACAAACACAACTACATATTTTGAACCACCAAATATATGATTTTTGTTTTTGAAATGTTTTGAATACTGGTCACTCTTTGGTTAGTCAAAGATGAACAGACGAGTGTGAATGGCCCAGCTTGTCTCTCCTACCTTAATCAGTTATCGAATAATGCTAGTTGGATATAATGAAGTTACATATTATTTACATACAAATAAAGTGTCCAAAAAAGAGAAAGAATCTTTTTTTATTTTAATAAAAAATTATGACCCAATTAGATATCAGTACATCATGTGTATGTAAAGCATCATATAATTCATCACGTACATGTAAGACAATTGATATTTAACTGTTAGTGCCCAAAAAATAAAAATAAAATGAAAGTAGTGGGTACCACTCTTGAGTGGACCCACACAATTTTGATTAAGTAGGTCCCAAACATACGGGATGCAATTGGTGCAAAGGAATCTATTTTATCCATCACACGTTATCATTAATATTTATCTTTTCTTCTGTGGTCGGTCAGTGAGTCAGGAGAACTAACTTGTTTTGCCCTTTCTAATTTCTTTCTTCTTACGGGTGATAGGGCCTGTTGGCTAAACTCAGTGTGTCAGGCGGAACTGATAGTCTGACTACTTCTACGGTGTCGTATAGCGGTCGGAGTCCCGCTGTGGTGTATACATTTTTAAGAATTATTCTTCTTGTACCGGGGTATACAACCCCCCTGATCGAGGGGGTTGTATACCCCCGATACAAATAGCAGCTCTCTATTTGTAAAATAACGCAACATAAACATACTAAAAAATAGGATTAAAAAAAAGGGAAACACGTGTCAACACGTCGAACAATTTGTAAAATAATAATAATAATAATAATAAATACTCAACACAAGAACTGCAGCAAATATGTCCATCATTTTCCTTTTTTTGAACATGTTCAATCATCATTATTCATATTTTTATTTTGTTAGTTGTATAGAGGAAATCCTACTAGATATTTTACAGGTGCTATTGACGGTACCTGGTTGGTTATTTTTATTTTTGCCAATGTTAAATGAAAAAATGACAATTGTATATGTAAATAATATGACAGTGTTTTATTCTATACATGTATTACTATCCTTTGTATGTTGCAGATTGCAGTGGCAATAACAAGGGACCGTGTACGTCTGTAGTCAACCAGGCAAGATTGTTGGAACATATATAGCCTTAAATAATGCTAGATGTACATTTTGATTTACAACTTCTTTGACATCCCTTTATGTGAAAGAAAATTGGGCATTAATGTGATGGTTGTGATCAAAATCAACAGTGTAGGTTTAGCCATATGAAAGAGTGTAAATCAACGTATAACCCCATGATGTAAATGTAGCAGGATTGTACATCCTTTGATTCTTTGATGCACGTGAGCCAACTCTCTTACAAGTGTCCCCAACTAAGCACTTCTTTTTTCATATTTTCGTTCCACCTTGGTTTTATTATTCTTTTTATTTGGCCCCTATTTGAATTAGATAAAAGTCAAATCTTTAATAATTTTTGATAAAAAGTGATAAATTATATGATTGAAAAATTGATAAAAATTGTGAGTTTTATAAAATATGTTATTAAAAAGGAATTTATGAAAAAATGAACATTAAAAAACGTGGGCCAAACAAAAACTAAATTATCTTCGGACAGTGACCATAACCAAAAACAAATAAGGGGAATTTTTAAAAATGGCTAATTACACGCTTGTCAATTAAAAAATATATAATTTTGATAACTCTTGCAAAAATGGTTCTCGATGAAACTTTGAGAGTTTGTTTGTAAGAGATTTTGAGCACGATGAAGATAAAAATGCAAATATAGTTTGGCTAATATTTTCTAAAATATATCTCAGCTGTTGTTTTTTAATTGAAAATAAAATTAGTTGGATACCAACTCTAATTTTTGCTAGTGTACCTAGAAGCATTTGTGTTTCTTTAAATAAAATTTAACTTTAACATGGTACTTTAGATTTTTTATTTAAATGAATACAACAAAAAATAATATTTTATTTAATTAAATAGGTAGGAGCAATTAATTCAATTTTTGATTAATTTAATATATCTTTAGTTGATTAATACTTATCTAATTGATTAGATTAGTAGACTATTACTGATATTTTTAATTGGTCAAATATATGTGAATTGAATCGTGAATGCACTCTATAAATTAATAACACTTTAATTAATTGATTTTGCATTATTCAAACATTGTAAATTTGAAGAGGTTATACTTTATAGTTTTTTTAGAGCATCTCTAATACATTATGTGAATTGCCGTTTAGGTGACTCGCAAATAGAAATTCTTCTGATCTATGTAGCATTAATATGTGGCTAAGTCCGTCAACAACATCGCTAGTGCAACTACGATATAACTCTCCCCACCTTTATTGAGCTTTAGCCCACCCAAAATTTTCATATTTTCTACTTTTTAACAATTTCTCGAATTATTGAAGGCGTATTTTGAAATCTAAAAAAATAATTGTAACGAAATTATTTTTACACACACTTGACTAGTTCTTGATTTTTCTAATTGAATTGACTGATCTCATCGTGTCAACATTGGATGTTTTCCAATTTTATACATTATTTTCTTTCGAAAGGGAGAAAATATATGAACCAACTGTGCAGCGACTGAAAAATGTTTGATCAATGCAGATCTTGAGCTTGTTGTGAGAGATTTTTTCGAGTTAAAAATAGTTTCTTTAGAGAATGTATGGTTAGAAAGTATGAAACAGTTATGAATTTCATAGAATATATGGTTAAAAATGAATTTAACATGCTATGTTGAATAATTTGATTTAGTGAGTGCAACAACATATATATTTTATTTAATTACATATGTAGGTGCTAGGAATTTAATTTATCTTTAGTTGACTAATACTTATTTAATTGATCAGATTAGTAGAATGATAATTTTAGTTGATCAAATTTATGTGTATTGAATCATAAATGTTGTTATTACACTTTTAATTAATTGATTTTGCATTGTTCCAACATTGTAAATTTA